TTTCCCCATCCTTATTTCCTTTTTCTCTTTTCACCCTCCCCTCTCCTTCCCTAGGTGGCAGTTTGCCAAAACTGACTAGAACCTATTCATCCTCCGTGCTACTCTCACTGACCTCTCCTCTCTGCCTCTTCCTCGCGCCCTTCCTTTTTCATGACCAGTTTAAGATAAAAACTAAGCACTACCTAAGTAACTTCCTGTAACCTACCTTACCCCTATAATGTCAACCCATGTCTGTTATTTTGAAACAATGCTGTCTGTCGACCAAATTGTATTTTTGCTGTTTTTCTGCCATGTTCCCCCTTTTTTATTTTTTTATTTTTCTCAACTCATTTTATACTTTAATCTCAATTAGTATTAAGTTTTAGTCTAGTGTTTTCCTGTCCGAAACGCTTTGCGTAATAGTGGCTTTAGGCATTGTATGTACTAGCTCTATATATAAACTCATCAATATTTGTATCACCCCTTATATGTATGTACTTTACCTGAATAAACATTTGAATTTTGAATTTGAATTTGACACCATCTTCGATGCTGCCCTCCGCTCTACCTCCTGGGGCACTCGGAAGTGCGTTCCCTGGTGGAATGCGGACTGTGCTCGGGCTGTCCGCTGTAAACGTGCAGCCTGGAAAAAACACCGACGCCGACAGACGGCTGATTCTTTTATTTTGTTTCGGAAGGCAAGTGCGGTGGCCAGTAGGACCATCCGTACAGCTAAGCGTGAGAGTTGGAAATCTTACGTTTCCACTATTACGTCCGATACTCCTCTACCGCAAATCTGGAAAAAGATCTGCAAGATTGCGGGTAAGTTCGTTCCAAATATCTCACCGGTTCTTCACCTCCGTGGTTCTCTTGTGGCAGACATAGTGCTGGTCGCGACCGAACTGGGTTCCCACTTTTCTTCTGTTAGCTCTGGTTTTCATCTTCCTCAATCCTTCCTTCTTCGTAAGCCCATTCTTGAATCTCATCCCTTAGATTTCCGTACTCATCTCCGCCTTCCCTATAACGATCCCTTAGCTCTCTCTGAACTTCAGTCTGCCCTGGCCCTCTGCGGTTATATGGCAGCGGGCTCGGATGACATTCATTATGAGATGCTTCGCCATCTCTCTCCTTGCACGTCTCGGTATTTACTGAGTCTGTATAACCAGGTCTGGGAGTCGTCGTCAGTCCCTGAGGACTGGCTCGATGCCGTGGTACTTCCAATTCGGAAACCGGGGTCTCTCAGGACTTCCGCCCTATTGCCCTCACGAGTTGTGTCTGTAAACTCTTTGAGCGTATGGTAAATGTTCGTCTGATGTGGTTCTTGGAACACCATCACCACCTCTCTCCTTCTCAATTTGGTTTTCGCAAGTACCGCAGCACAACTGATGTCCTGGTGAATTTGGAGGTCAAAGAGGTCTATATATTCATATTGCTTTTGCTGCGAAGACCTCCGTTGTTGCTGTCCTTTTTGACCTGGAAAAGGCTTATGACAACCTGGAGATACCATATTCTGTCACAACTTCATTCTTTTGGCCTTCGTGGTAATCTCCCTCTCTCCTCCAAAGCTTCTTCTCTCTTCGTTCCTTTCGAGTCAGGCTTGGTACCACTCTCTCTGCCTCTTTTCGGCAATACGAAGGTGTACCCCAAGGTAGGGTTCTGAGCACTACTCTTTCTGGTTGCCCTCAATGGTCTTCTTTCCTCCCTCCCTTCTTTCTGGCATTTTCTCCGCTCTTTATGTCGATGATCTTACTCTTTGCTGTCAAGGTGATGATTCGCCTCTCCTTCAATGGTGGCTTCAACTTGCGATTGATGCTGTGCCATCTTGGGCCACCAATCATGGCTTCAAGCTCTCTGCAACTAAGACTTATGCTATGACCTTTACTCGAAAGCATTTCGTTCTTCTTTGTCACTTCATGGTCATCCCCTTGTGTACAAAGATTCCGCGAAGCTTTTGAGGTTAAGCTTTGACACTCGTTTGTCTTGGTCACCCCACATCTCTTACCTCCGAGTTGAATGCTCTAAGGCCCTTAACCTACTTAAGGTATTGTCCCATACTTCTTGGGGAGCGGATAGGCGCACGTTCCTCTATTTGCACACCTCTCTCGTCCTGTCTAAACTCGATTATGGTTGCCCTTCATACTCTTCTGCTTCTCCTTCTACTCTTCGTCGTCTTGATTCTTTGCACCATACTGGGTTGCGCCTCAGCTGCGGTGACTTTCGTTCAACTCTTATCCTCAGCTTGTATGCTGGCACTGGCTTCTTTTCTCTCCAGGACCGCTGTGATCGCTACTGCCTTCGCTATCTTGCACGGTCCTTACAACATCCTCACTCTCGCCTCTGTGGTACTTTGACTTTTACCCCTCCTGTAGTTTCTGTTCCTCTTCACCACCTTCCTCTTTCTGTCCATTTGCCTCGCTTACAAGATTCTCTTTCGGTTCATATTACCAATGTTTCTCCTCGTATTGTTCCGTCCTTGCCTCCGTGGAGGGTCCTCCTTCCCAAATTTTGTTCTTCCCTGACCCGAATCACTAAAGCTTTTACCCCTCCTACAGTTCTGAAAAATCTTCTCCTTGAACACTTTTCTTCACGCTCCCACTCCGTTTCCATTTTTTCTGATAACGGAGGAATAAGACACCGACAGCATTGGGACCTATTTATTTAATTTTTTAGTAGTAACAAAATAATTAAATTTTTTCAGACCATGTTAATGAACAGGTAACTTGTATAATTTTACAACAGCATAAATACATGTATAACTTGGCTACAATGACTTAATAACATTAATATATATGCTTATATCCGGTAACTAAATAGAACATGGTCTGAAGAACGCGGAATCCTTATTAACTATTGGTACAAGTAAGGCAAACGTTTAACATAATTTTTAAGTAGAATCGGGGCTTAAAGAGTAGCATATAGTGGCCTAACACATGACATAAATAATGTGGCAAATCCCAGACATAATGTGAAATGGTAAATTACTAGTAGCTGTAGAATACACCTATAGGACAAATTTAACAATACTCTTACAAGTGAGAGTAAGTAGCTGCGGACAGCGTAATACTTAGGGGCCGGCGCTGCACCCCCCTGTTGACCAACAATAAAGGACAAAGACATAGTACTGTGCGTAGGGTTATATTGCTGCTGAACATTGGAAGGGGAGGAGGGTGGGAAAATTTTTTCTAAGACTTGTGAAGCGGAGCGAGGCTGGAACAAGAAAGAACGCATGACCCCTCCTCTCTGCTATATATAGGCCCCCCGCGGCGCTCCGCGCGCTGCGCTGCGGATCGCGCTGTGCAACTGTCTTCTCCTCCATCAGAAATTCCTCCGCATTCCTACATAATGCAGCGGTTATTTATCGATGGGTCTAAGTTTGCTGACGGTGTGGGCTACTCTGTTGTTTTTCCTGGCCGCATTTATATTATATAAGTGCGGTCGTCTTCCTCCAGAGGAAGTGCCTCTGTGTCGCCTTCCTCCAGAGGCTAGCATCTTCACAGCAGAACTTTATGCTATTCTCTATGCTCTTCGTCTCCTGCTTCTTCGTTGTCAATCCTCCTTTGTGGTTGACTCTCGTAGGGCCCTCATGGCTCTGGGGTCCTTTAATCCGATCCACCCGGTGGTCATCGAGATTCAACACTGGCTGTTTCTTATCTCCAGTAATTTTAGGTCGGTAGAGTTTTGCTGGGTTCCCAGCCATGTTGGTGTCTGGAGCGTGCGGATGCTGCCGCTACGGAAGGAAGCTATCCGTGCTTGTCCCATCTCCCGTAAAAGTATTCCTTATTTCGATTTTTACTCAGTTTACCCAGAGGCCAAATCTTGCCCACTCAAGAGATCCAGAGAGCAGGGCATCAGTAGATCACTCGTAATTAAGGAACTAACTTCCAGAGAGGGTATCTTGAGTTATCCCGAGATGATTTTGGGGCTTAGCGTCCCGGTCCTTGACCAGGCCTCCTTTTTGTTACACACCCCCAGGAAGCAGCCCGTAGCAGCTGTCTAACTCCCAGGTATCTATTTACTGCTAGGTAACAGGGACATCAGGGCGAAAGAAACTTTTTGTCCATTTGTCTCCGCCTCCACCGGGGATCGAACCCGGAACCTCAGGACTACGAATCCGAAGCGCTGTCCACTCAGCTGTCAGGCGCCCAGATTCTAAAAGGTACCTGTGGATAACCCTTAAATTAACTTTAATGTACTACTTTTTTCTGTCAAATTTCTTATACAATATATTTGTTTATACTTTCTTACAATGTATTTTTATACGTTCTTACCTAAACATTTTTTTAATTTTGCTAGAAATTACCTTCTTAAAATTATATGTTAGAGTAAGGATCTGCCCGAAACGCTGTGCGTGCTAGTGGCTTTACAATAATGTAAAACTTTAAGTTTCTGTACTTTCATGAACCCAATGTACCTTCTTGTATATAAATAAATAAAATAAATAAATAATTAATGCCTGAAACGGTGTACGCATTAGTTTTCACCTAGTTGTGCTTGCGGGGTTGGAGCTCTGCTTTTTCGGCCCGCTTCTCAACTGTTACTAATTTTTTTTCACACACACCCCCAGGAAGCAATTAACTCTGTAGCAGCTGTCTAACTCCCAGGTACCTATTTACTGTAAAGTAACAGGGGCATCAGGGTGAAAGAAACGTAGCCAATTTTTTTCTGCCTGGTGCGGGAATCGAACACTTTTACCTAAATAAACTTTAATATTAATTTTATTATTATTATAGAGTACTTGGAGAATTGGCAGCCTAATCTTAGCTGACGTAGCTTATAAGTTTAGATTTAGGAAAGACTTGGGTAAATACGGTTCGGTAACTGGGTTGTTGATTTGTGGAACCAATTACCGCGTACCATGGTGGAGGTGGGGTCCCTTGATTGTTTCAAGCGCGGGTTGGACATGTATATGAGTGGGATTGGGTGGTTATAGATAGGAGCTGCCTCATATGGGTCAATAGGCCTTTTGCAGTTACCTTTGTTCTTATGTTCTTATGTATGAGTACCAGGAAGGTTGGCAGGCATGCCACCACCAGAGCCACCACCAGATAAGTTGGTAACCCTGTCGCTAAGCCACGTCTGCCCGGACCATAAACAAGTTAAACGTTGTGGGTGACTGTCGTCTTGCCCATCATATTGTGTTGAAGTAGCCTCCATAACCTTTTTATATGAGTTAAATTAACCTAGGAAGGTGCGTATGAGGAGCGGCTTACTGTATGACAATTGAATTATAAAAGTTGAGCAACTGTTTTATGTTGTATCCCGGGAAAGGTGCGAGACATGTCACATCGTACAAATGATGATTAGCCAATGGATTTTGAAACCTAGCTTGATTCAACCCAACCTAAATCTACCTAACCGGGTCCAATACAGCCTAATCTAAGCTGATGCATCCTGGCATAACAATATATACAATTTTAACACGGAAAACGAGCTTCAGTGACTCGTGTTGTGGGCAAGAATCATACCCCAGACGGCGAGTATGGAGTAGTTGTCCTAAGGGGGGTTGACGGGGGTCTGGTCATTTTGGACGAGACGATTCAACGAAAGTTTTTTTTTCGTTTAAAACTATTTATTATGGTTACTAGTCAGTTGGTATAGAAGACATTTTTACCATTGCCATTTTACTCATCCACTAGACGTTTGACATTGTAATTGCCAGAATTAGGCTGGGATATCAATATCTATGGCAGGTAATGAATCCCCCCCCAATGGTGAAAATTCCAATGTACAAGAGCTAGGACATACTCTCCAACACTATATCTGTGATTGCCGTTATCGGTGACTTCAGACCAAATGGTATGAGGTACTTTGAGCTCTATAATTACTTCATACACTCGGGAATATTGGAAGATCTTCTTGTGCTGTACCCAGATTTTGCTAGTGGGGGCCTTACATTTCATGTTCTCTCCTGATTTTGCCAGAGTTGATTTGTTTTTGTATCAAGGGTGGTATTTTCTCCCCTGATTCCATGTATGACTAAACATTCTGTGAGATGGGAATATAATTCACTGTGTTGGGGAACAGGAAGCCAGAGTGCATTCATACACGTTGGCTTTGGGTCCGTCTAATTACCAAAAACTACCACATACTACACACGCTTCAGAAAACTTCCTGGCAATACGTTAGTAATGAATAAATATGATATATTAAGTTAGGCTGACCTAACCTAACCTATCCTAACCTATCCTAACCTAACCTAACCTAACTTAACCAAACCTAACTTAACCAAACCTAACCTAACCTAACTGAAGCTTGGATCGTCGACTTGATTTGGCGTCACCAGCTTTTTATTTTCGTCTAATTTCTTTATAAAAAGATACTTTTTCGGATTAAAATTATGTTTTTTCATGTTGTATGTTCAGCACCAACATTGTAATGAGTAAATATATCATATTTATTCATTACTAACGTATTGCCAGGAAGTTTTCTGAAGCGTGTGTAGCATGTGGTAGTTTTTGGTAATTAGACGGACCGTTGGCTTTTATTGAGGTTCATCCTCCCCCCCCCCCCCCCCCAAGGCTGAATTTCAGACCCTGCCCAGGATGCAACCCCACAACAAGCTGATTAACTCCTGAGTACCTACTCACTGCTAGGTGAACTGGGTGAATTACGTGAAAGAAAATTTGCCCAACCGAAGAAATTAAAAAAATTTACTTTCACAAACAGAGTGGTAGACGGTTGGAACAAGTTAGGTGAGAAGGTGGTGGAGGCCAAGACCGTCAGTAGTTTCAAGGCGTTATATGACAAAGAGTGCTGGGAAGACGGGACACCACGAGCGTAGCTCTCATCCTGTAACTACACTTAGGTAATTACACTTGGGTAATTACACGTCAGTTGTGTTACAGTATTTTGGTCTCTTGTACAGTACTTGTGCGCTAGCTTGCATTTACAGCTGTTCTCACATTTAACAACTTATTTATTTGTATTTATTTATAGAATTAGTGAAATAAAACATTATAATAATTCATCATTTGTTATACAGTTATGTTATACGAAAACCTTTGTTTTCGTAGTTAATCCGTTCTCAGAGACTACGAAAACCAGAACTACGAAAACCGAAATGAATTTTCCCATAAGAAATAATGTAAATTGAATTAATCTGTTCCACATCCCCAAAAATATTAACTAAAAAAACACATTTTATACAGAATAATACTCTTGGATACCTTACCTTGGGGTTTCATAGCAGAAAGGATTGTGACATTGTGTACCTTGACTTTAGCAGTGCTTTTGATATTCTCACAAAAGACTGATTAGAAAAGTAGAGGTTCATAATATTGTGGGTGCTATCCTAAGATGGATAAGGGCATGCTTATTTCAAGGGGAAAGAGTATAGATAAAGTTAAGTCTGAGTGGGGAAACTGTTGTAAGTAGTGTGTCCCAGGGCTCTGTCCTGAGACCTTTGGTTACAATATTCAGTATATAAATGATATAGATACAGATTGAGAAGGGATATTTGCAAATTTGGAAACCTTCCATGCGAAGAGAGATTAAAGTTTAATATATATTTTCTAGAGGTGAAGACTAAGGGTTGATATAATTTACTGTAGGTACAGTACTCTTATATAAATGGATGAAAGAGTATAACAAAGGGGATATTAATAATAATGTGTTAAATATATGAACATACAACAGTGGATATAATTGGGGTAAGTTTGGATTCAGGAAAGACCTGGGTATGTACTGGTTTTGAAAATGGTGTTTGATCTATGGAACAAATTGCTGGGAAAAATAAGACGGGGTCACTTTGTGTTAAGTGTAGGTTAGATGTGTATAAAAGTTTGGTTTGATGAAAATAGAAGCTGCTTCATATGGGCACATAATCCTCTGGCAGTTCCTTTATTCATACATTCTTATGGGTGCAACAGTCCATATATATATTGTATATTCCATGCATAGCAGCTATAGGCTCTCATTTTTTTTGGAGGATGGGTTGCACTGATTACATAAAAATATCCTCTACTGCACATACAGTACTAGACTTCCAGTTGCATCACCTGTAGAATTTCACCACTGACATCATTATATTGATTTTTTATGATTAGAAAGAATATACTGTAGAGAGTAATAACATAGTTATAATTTTTTGTTTACAGATATTTACAATGGGAGAGGTGGATCCAAACAAGGACATCGTCCACCCACCATCACTTACGCAGCAGAATCCCTGGGTGATCTCCTATTTGGTTACATCAGGTAAGGCTAAGAAATTAGCTTTCCCGAAAGCCCGAAAATGGCCGAAATGCTTTGCGTAATAGTGGCTTTAGGCATTGTATGTACTAGCTCTATCCATAAATCCATCAACTTTTTGTATCTCACCTTGTATGTATGTACTTTACCTGAATAAATATTTGTATTTGTAAATATACGTTTCAGAATAAATTGATAGGACATCATTATTACAAGGAAACTGGATAAGCACAAGTGGAGTCAAATTTGAGTGAGTTACCATTGTAAGTAGACTGCCCCAGAGCTCTGTTCCAGGACTGCTATTTTTAATATACCAGTATATCCATACCCATAAGTGAGAATGTCCAGAGTTGGAGGCCAGACACTTGAGGCTAACCTCATCCAAATTGACAGAGGGAATGGTCTGGGGTCCGGGATGAACATAGGCTGGTCGGGGTTGCCAGAATTCAAAAGGAAACAATATACCAGAATCACATTCAGACCCCCCACAATTATTTTTGGCAGTGCAAAAAACTTAACCTGATCAACCAGGCTGTGATTCATACATCAGGCTGTGAGCAGCCACATCCAACAGCCTGGTTGATTAGTCCAGGAACCAGGAGGCCTGGTTGCGAACCAGGCCACAGGAACATTGAGCCCCGAAATCACCACAAGGTAACTGCTGGCCAGACCCTCGTCTAAATATTTTAAAAACAAACATAACAAAATTCATATAGGAATATAAACCATTATTTACTCACTATGGGAAAATTTAAAAATTTCCTGCTAATCCATAATTTGCCCATAATTGCAAAAGAGAGAATTTTGCCACAGCTTCAAAGGTTTCTGAAGTCACACCACTTTCTCAGAATAAATTGGGTAACTATTCTATTTTTTTTTTTAGTATTTGACACTACTGCAGTCAGCTCCTCTTACCAGTGACCACCCACACATCAGTGGTAGACAATTATATTCTTTATAATATGAGGGTAGCTGACAGTTTGAGACCCCTTGGTGAGTTAAGGCTTGTCTACCTATGCATGTGAAGACTAGACCCGACTGACTGTCCATCGGCCTGACCAAATTCACCCACCCCGCCCGAATAGCTGCCCACCCCACACTGCCCGAATAGCTGTTCACCCCACACTGCCCGAATAGCTGCCCACCCCACACTGCCGAAAAGCTGCCCACCCCACACTGCCCGAAAAGCTGCCCACCCCACACTGCCCGAATAGCTGCCCACCCCACACTGCCTGAATAGCTGCCCACCCCACACCGCCCGAATAGCTGCCCACCCCACACCGCCCGAATAGCTGCCCACCCCACACCGCCCGAATAGCTGCCCACCCCACACCGCCCGAATAGCTGCCCACCCCTCACCATCCACCCGAATAGCTGCCTGCCCACACTGTCCGCTCAAATAGCCACCCACCCACACTGCCCGCCCAAATAGCCATCCTTCCGTCTTGCCAAATCCACCCACTCTGCCCAAATAGCCGCTCACAAACACACCACCCACCCAAATAGCCACCCATCTGCCTTGCCAAATCCACCCACCCTTCCCGCCCAAATGGCCACCCACCCACACTGCCCACCCAAATAGCCATCCATCTGCCTTGCCATATCCACCCACTCTGCCCAAATAGCCGTTCACACACACACCACCCGCCCAAATAGCTGCCCATCTGCCTTGCCAAATCCACCCACCCTGCCCACCCAAATAGCCACCCATCCGCCTTGCCAAATCCGCCCATCCGCCTTGCCAAATCCACCCACCCTGCCCTCCCAAACAGCCGCCCATCCGCCTTGCCAAATCCACCCACCCTGCCAGCCTAAACAGCTGCCCATCTGCCTTGCCAAATCCACCCACTCTGCCCAAATAGCTGCCCACCCACACTGCCTGCCCAAATAGCCAACCACCCACACTGCCCACCCAAATAGCTGGCCATCTGCCTGCCCAAAGCCATCCACCCAGCCTGAATAGCCGCCCATCCACCTGCCCAAATCCATGCACTCCGCCCGAATAGCTGCCCACCCACACCGCCTGCCCAAGTCCACACACCCTGCCCTAAGGAAGAGGGAAACGTTTTAGAAAACGTTAGGAAACCTTAGGCAAGTGTTTTCTTTAGACAGATTCTTAGTAAGACAAGTGAGCAGTGAGCCACAACCATGTCCTAGTGGTATGCCTGCACAACGTAGGAGAGTACCCCAGAAATGTCATCACTGCTGTTATAATGGAAGGGGACGCCCCTTCCAAACACTAACACCTCTCCTCCTCCCCTCCTCATCACTGTCTTCCATACACCAACAAGAGTCCTCATTCAGGGTAATATATACATACTGTACTGTATTGTAGCTAGTACAAAATTAGTGTTATTCAGTATAAAATGTATTTTTAAGTTAATATTTTTGGGGGTATGGAACAGATTAATTCAATTTACATTATTTCTTATATGAAAATTTGTTTTGATTGCCTAATTTTTGGCTGACGATGCGTCTCTGGGAACGGATTACGATCATAAATGAAGGTACAGTACCACTGTATAGTATGTCATAATTGCCATTGACCAAGGAAGGACCCAGAAAGGTAGGTGAATCAAAACAGACCACTAGTTAACCAGTGCAATCTACACCTGAAAAGATCAAAATATCTCCCCTAGAAAGAAACCCAGCAAGCAACACTTCATGCAACTTGCACTCCCGCTCGTTTTCTCTACCCCCCTCTACAAAAGCGGGGGGAGGGGGAGGAGGAGCGAGTCGCCCACCACTCCAGTTCTTGAACGATGAAAACTGCCAACCGGAGGGAGGGTGGGTGGGTATCAGAAACTCGGGCTCCTGCAGGCCATTACAAAGGTGAAGGAAACGGTCATAAGAGACTTCCTGTTAGCTGATGACTGCACCCCCTCAATGCCAGCACAGAGCAAATGATGCAGCACAAAATGGAATGAGTCTTACAAGCCTGTGATAACTTTAGTCTTGTCATCACCAGCAAAAAGACTGTGATGTACAGTACATGGTCATGTACCAACCTGCACCTGGAATACCCTACCCGGAACTACAAATCACTGTCAAGGGGCAGAACCTGCAGGCAGTCAACAACTTTACTTATCTTGGCTGCATACTCTCAAGAGCAGTAAACATACTCAGAAGTCAACAGCAGGACCGCCAAAGCTAGCGCTGCCTTTGGAAGGTTACGTGAGAATGTCTGGGAGCGGAGGGAGGGAGCCTTAGCCTTACAACCAAACTGAAAGGCTACCGTGCAGTGGTACTCGCCATCCTTCTAGCATGACATGGACTATCTACAGTAGACACACCAAACATCTCCAATCACTTTCACTTGAGCTGTCTCTGCATAATCCACATCAGGTGGCAGGACAAAATCCCAGATATGGAGGTCCTGGAAAGGCCGGTATTCCCAGTGTCTACACCCTCCTACAGAAAATGAAGACCATGTTGTCAGAATGCCTGACAGCCAATTGCCAAAACAACTGCTGTATGGAGAATTGTCAGGGCACACGTTCAGTTGAGGGGCAGAAGAAACAATTCAAGGACTGCTTCAAGGTGACCCTCGAAGACCTGGACATAACCCCAATATTTGGAAGTCATTTGCTCAAGAACTTCCAACTTGAAAAACCAAAGTCACCACAGGGGCCCATGTGGCAGAGAATAGACAGACTGCAGAGGCCCAGAGGAAAACACCGTGTGCAAAGCAAGAGCAACCTTCATCTTTACAGTAGCCAACCTATCCTCTTACAAATTACGTCTGAATTTGGCTGTTTACCCGTATGGCCGAAAATGAACGTAATTTGAAAATGAAACAAAATTTAAAATGTTTATTATTTTTTCAAAACAGTAATATATGGGTCCTCTGGTAGGTTAGGAAGGCAGGAAATTCTAAAGTTTCAAAACATCATGAAAACGTTAATTGAAAGTTTCCTCTCCTAACCTCTCTGAGTAAGCCGGAGGACTCAAACAGAAAACGGGACAATACATCACTTTCGTGACCCGATTTCATTTCAAATTACGTCCATTTTTGGCCATAGCACACATACGGGCAAAAAGCGATGTTATTTTTAAGAGGACAGGCTGCAGTAGCATTCACCCACATATGTCCCATGTGTGGGCGAGCCTTCCAATCCCAGATTGGTCTCCTCAACCATCTGGCACACAGCCACCGACTTTCGACCTGGTATATTGAAGTCATGGTCATCTTCGGTTCCGAAGGACGAACACCATATTATAAGAGGCAGGGACAGGAAGGGGGAAAGGACATACACACAGGCAGACAGTGTGCGGATGAATAAATGGATAAATACGCGAGTAGATGGATGAATAAATGGCAGGATATAAAGATGCATAGATAGATACGGATAGCAAGATGGATGGACAAATAGAATGCAGACAGACCCAGGCATTGCCAGACACCTCCTCTAGTACTGTATACTATAAATGATTTTGACAGCATTTAACAGAAACATTAGTATCAGAAAGCATTAGTATAGCAAGTATTAGTACAGAAAATATTGTAGATTAAGGAAACTGCTGAAGGCCTCTTGGCCCATATGGCTTATATGATACATATATATCCATCCAAATTCGCTCATATTTATGTTTAACCTATGCTTGAAAATACAGTGATCCCACAACTTTGTTTCCTTTGATATAACCATCCCCCTTATCCAACTTAAGATAGCACCCAATACTGTGTGTTTCTACCTTTCTAAACGGTTCAGTGCTGACAAATGCCAAGTTCTAAGCTTAAAAAATGCTAAGTTAGCAGATGTAATTTAGATAATGTTGATATTGCCAGATCTGAATGTGAAGTGTCATAATTCATAAGAATCTTAAGCCAAGAATTCAATATGTAGTATAACTACTGTATTTGAAATAAGGTAAATATGATATACTTGGATTCATAAGATGTGTTAGTAATAAGACATCTAATTTTATTCTTAACCCTTTGGTAGTGGTCACGATTAAACAAATATTTTTTTGGTTTTACACATGATGCAAATAAAGGGTATAAT